TAATAATACATATTATTAATAACATGTATTATTATTATTATTAATATTATTATTAATAACATGTTATTAAAAACCACTCCCTCAACCACTGCCTCTACCACTCCAGTCGCACTCAATCTACAAGCATCAAACACAATGAATTATTGTGAAAAGTTCGGAAGAGTGTGGAGACTAATGCTCACTCCAGCATAAACAAAGCCACACTGATGATGCATCAACCACTTCTTCCACCACTGCTTCAGCCCTCGTATTTTTGTACTATTTCCTTCTTCAATTCTATCGTATTAATAATAATAATAATAATACGATAGAATTGAAGAAGGAAATTGTACAAAAATATGAGGGTTGAAGCAATAGTGGAGGAAGTGGTTGAGGCATCGTCAGTCACTGTGGCTTTGTTTATGCTAGGGTGAGCATTAGTCTCCATGCTTTTCCAAACATTTCACAATAATTCATTGTGTTTGGTGCTTGTAGATTGAGTGCGACTGCCACATAATTAACCATGGGCCCAAAGAAACTTGCTAGTGCCAGCCCTTTGGTAAAGAAATTGAGAAACACGATAGAACTGAATAAAGAAATAGTACCAAAATACGAGCAGTGCGCTGCAGTGGTTGAGGCACTGGTGGAGGCAGTGGTTGAGGCACTGGTGGAGGCAGTGGTTGAAGCACTGGTGGAGGCAGTGGTGTTTAATGACATACATGTTATTAAACCATAACATGTATGTATTTAGTACAATATTTTACGACATTTTCATGTATTTTATGATTGTTCATGGTTCAACAAGTTAAGGAAGCAGTATTGTATTATATTAACATACAATATATTGGGGCACCAAACATTCGCGATTTTTCAACATTCGCGAGGCTCTTGATCCCCTAACCCTCGCGAATGTTGAGGGAGACCTGTATATATAAATAAGCCGTAGAGTTGATATTAGCGTCATACTGAAGTACAGTATTTTCTCCTGCCTCCCGAGAGCCAGGAATTCCACTGGAATGGATTACTGGCATTTCAGTTAATTTCAATGAGGAAAATTGATTTTAAATACGAGCAAATTGAGTTACAAGCTGGGTCACGGAATGAATTAAACTCAAAAGTCAAGGTACCACTGTAGAAATATTTTAAGGAAAGTAATGAGTGAACTGTATACACATTTCATCGCTCTGGGATGCTTTAAATGTCATAGTATATTATATGTGGGTGAGGTGACCTGGTATGGTAGCCTGGCTGGCTACCATACCTACCACACCTGATTTTCTTGCAATAAATATTACTCATCTCACCCTACATTAAGACTACAAATATTTTAAGGTAAGTAATGAGTGTACTGTATATATATTTTTCTCTTTTATTGTTTTTTAATGCCTAGTTATATTGCTAACTTAATATAGGTTAGTGTAAACTTATCTAGAATTTTAATGCATCTTTAAGTGGAAAAAATGACGTTCCACTTTACAGCGATTTCCGCTTTACGGCAGTAGCCTGGAACCTAACCTTCCATATAAGTGGGGCCCTACTGTATATCTTTGGGAAAAAAGACAAAAGGACTTCATTAGAAATAAGCCACATGGTTTTGCTTTCTTGGGCTATCCTGGATTAATAGATTTATTTTTTTAATAGTGGCCAACTCCCAACAAGGTAGGGTGACCCAAAAAAATAACACGCTTTCCATCACTCATTCCACCACTGTCTTAATACAGGCACACCAACAGCACAGGTAAGATGACCCTCCAAACTGCAATATCCCCATCTTTCCTTCAGAGTGTAGGCACTGCACTTCTCATCTCCAGGACTCGAACTGGGCTACCTGGTTTCAATGAATCCCTTCATGCTGCCTTGTCCACACTCCAACAACATGTCAAGTCATAAAAAACCATTTGTCTCCACTCGTTCCTATCTAGTATGCTCACACATGCCTGCTGTATGTTCAAGCCCCTCACACACAAAACTTCCTTTACTCCCTCCCTCCATTCTTTCCAAGAACAACTCCTATCTGCCTTCTCTCCACTATAGATTTATACACCATCCAAGTAATCATATTTTGCTCCATCATCTCTAAATGACCAAACCACCTCAACAACCCCTTCTCTGCTTTCTAAATAATACTTTCAGTAACTTCACACTGCATCCTAATTTCCAAACTAAGAATTCTCTGCATAATATTTACACCACACACTGCCCTCTGACACATCCCCACTGCCTCCAGCCTCTTTCTTACTGCAACATTCACAACCCATGCTTCACACCCATATTAACCCTTTGACTGTCACGGCCGTATATATACGTTTATGAGGTACCGTGTTTGACGTGTATATACTCATAAATTCTAGCGGCTTCAAGTCAAGCAGGAGAAAGCTGGTAGGCCCACATGTGAGAGAATGGGTCTGTGTGGTCAGTGTGCACCATATAAAAGAAATCCTGGAGCACGCAGTGCATAATGAGAAAAAAAAAACTGACCGACTTTTTTAATTAAAATGCCGACTTTGTGGTCTATTTTCGTATAGTATTTATGGTTGTATTCTCGTTTTCTTGGTCTCATTTGATAGAATGGAAAACATATTATAGAAATAGAGGTGATTTTGATTGATTTTACTATAAAAAGAACCTAGAAATGGAGCTCAAATTAGGGGAAATGTTTGATTTTTGCCAATGTTCAAAAGTAAACAAATGATGCCATTGTCCAATAAATGTCCAACTAGCCATTCTAATATGCAGTCATGAATGGGTTGATGTTATTTATACAATTATTACAGTATTGCAGCAGTCTGCATAATAGTAAGTCTTCTATTTTTTGTTTGAATAAAAATTCAAAATAGAAAGCAAGAGTAATATCAGAGGGGCCTGGAGACATGACTGAAGAGCAAAGAAAATGTTATTTTAGAGCCAGGAATGTCTGCATTGTTCATTCTGGACCTTATTTTGAAACTGTCATATTTTTTAGTTTTCGTGAAACTGGCCAAATTGCAAATTTCTGACCACATTATTAGGTAGTTGAAATCGGTAAATGGGCAGTTTCTTGTACTCAATCAATAGAAAAAATGGAGTTCCAAAGAAATAGCTATGAGTTTGGGCGACTGGAATAATGGAATTAGCCAAAAATAGGGCTCAAAGTGGGCGAAATGGCCGATTTGTAAACAGCGCCGAGGTCGCTAACTTCGCGAGAGCATAATTTCGTCAGTTTTCCATCAAATTTCGTTTTTTTGGTGTCATTACAATCGAGAAAAGATTCTCTATCATTTCATAAGAAAATGTTTTTTTTTCTTTTAAATTTTGCGACACCAGGAGACACCTCAGGATTGGGGGTTGCGACAGTCAAAGGGTTAAGAGTGTTGGTACCACTATACTCTCATACATTCATTTCTTTGCCTACATGAATAACATTCTTTGCCTCCACAGATACCTTGATGAACCACCCACTTTTTCCTTCATCAATTCTATGGCTTACCCCGTCCTTCATGTACCCATCCGCCGACACTGCCACTCCCAAATATCTGAACACATTCACATGTTCCATACTTCCTCCCTCCAATTTGATATCCAATTTTTCCTTACCCTCATCACCTTACTCTTATCAGTGCTCACTTTCAACTTCCTTTACACACCCTCCCAAACTCGTTCACTATCATTTGCAACTTCTCTCCAGAATCTCCCAAAAGCAGAGTATCATCAGCAAAAAGTAACTGTGACAACTCTCATTTTGTATCTGATTCTACATAATTTAATTCCACCCATCTCCCCAACACCTCAATATTCACTTCTTTTACAACCCCATCTATAAATATGTCAAACAGCCATGATGACATCACACATGCCTGTATAAGGCCTACTTTTACAGGAAAATAATCTCCCTCTCTTCTACATAACCTGAGTCTCACTATCCTCATAAAACTCTTAACTGCTTTAAGTTACCTACCATCTATTCCACACACTTGCATTACCTGCCACACTGCTCCCCTATCAAATCCATATATGGAACAAAAACTTCTTTACCTTTTCAGAAATAGTGTTCACTTACATGCTTCAACGTATGCAAAGGAACTACGCAATTTCTAGACCAATCCCTAGATACCTTTTCCCTTCCATACATTTATTCAACAAATGCACAAACACTCCAAAGCTATATCCCCACCTGCTTTTAGCATTTCTGTCTTAATCCCATTAATCTTACCTGCTTTATCCCTCTCATTCTACCCACTGTCTCAAACACCTCCCCTACATTCACATCTGGCTCTTCCTCACTACTAAAAGATGTTGTACCTCTCTGCTCAATGCATGATATCACAGTTTCCCTCTCCATCATGGAACAGCTCCTCAAACTATTTCCTCCATATCTGCAATGCCTCCACCTTCCCATCTAATAAAGCCCCTCATTTGTTTTCAACTTGAATCCAGTCATTCCTTAGGCTTTCTGAACTATTAACGTCACTTCAAAACTTTTTCGTATTCTTAGCAAAATTTGTTGACAGAACCTCACCCACTTTCTCATTTGTTCTTTCACACTCCCTCACCACCCTCTAAACCTCTCTTTCATTCTCCATATATTACACCTTCCTCATATCACCATTATGATAAGAGTACTAGGTGCTCGGGTATAAAATGTACATGTATATGGGAAGGTAGTGATTGATGGTTTATTACTCTTAACAATTATAACTTCATAGAAAAACAGTTCATGTCACCTGTTCTGCGTGTTAATCACATGCAAGCTGGCATTAAGTTTCACCTTTATACAAATAACCTGTCATTAAATAAAAAAACTATTTGCCGTGTTTAGAGTTTCATAAAAACAAGAAGTCACCGATTTTAGTATAAAAAAATAATTTTAAGAAATATTTTATTATAGAATATATTTTAGATGGAGTTTATGCTGTGATGGCATTGCAACCAAAATTAAACTTGAGATTTAAGGAATATAAAGTGAGAAACTGGAAGCTTTTTTTACATAGAAGTTTGAAACTGCATACAGCAATAATCAGAAAACTAAGAAGGGTTGTTGGTACCTTGCTGGCCCCCACTGAGCACGTCTGGTGGCTGGAGACATGGAAGCATACCCATCACTGCCTGGCTGCTGGCCCCACATGCGTCGAACTGGACTTCCCTGCTGAAAAATGTTTAATCATAAATATTATATAGGAGCTGTGAATGGCCCACATACTTTAGGCAAAAGAATAATAATATGGATGAATAGCTGAATGTCTTAGTGGTAATGAAACAAAATAGGTGGGAGAATTTCAATGAGGAGTAAGTGGGGTTTGACTGGGTGTATCTGAAATAATGAGAGCTAATGGAATAGTGGCAAAATGTTAAATGATCAACTATGGAAAGAAAAAAGAAAGGGGGAAATATTTAACCCTTAAACTCTCCAAACAAATTTACGTTCACATGCGTAGTGCTCCAAAAGTAGATCTATGTTTTTTTTACGTATTTTCAAATATAAAAAAAAAAAAAAAAAAAAAAAAAAAAAAAAGTAGATCAAAGTTTTTTTTTACAAGTTTTCAAATGTAAACAAAAAAAATCTACTTTTTTTACATACTTTCAAATGTTGAAAAAACTAGATCTACGTTTGGACAGTTTAACCCTTTGAGGGTTTTCGTCGTACTAGTACGTCTTACGCGTAGGGGTTTTTGACGTACTAGTACTCATAAATTCTAGCGGCCTCAAATCTAGTGGGAGAAAGCTGGTAGGCCTTCATATGAAAGAATGGGTCTATGTGGTCAGTGTGCACAGTCTAAAAAAAATCCTGCAGCACACAGTGCAAAATGAGAAAAAAAAAACTTTGACCATTTTTTTTTAATAAATCAGCGACTTTGCAGTGTATTTTCGTATGGTATTTATTGTTGTATTCTAGTTTTCTTGGTCTCATTTTATAGAATGGAAGACATATTACAGAAATTGAGATGATTTTGACTGGTTTTACAATGAAAGGTGCCTTGAAATTGAGCTCAAAGTAGCAGAAATGTTCGATTTTTACCAAACTTCAAAAGTAAACAAATCGTGCCAAGTGTGCAATACACGTCAACTGGTGAGTCTAATATTCTTTCACAAGTGCACCAATAATATTTGTACCATTTTTTACACTAATGCAATAGTCTGCATAACAGTAAATCTTATATTTTTTGTGAGAATAAAAATTCAAAGTGGAAAGCAAAAGAATATATGAGGGGCCTTGAGACGTGACTAATCACTAGAGGAAATGTCATTTTAGTGCCAGGAATGTCTTTCTTGTTTATTCTGGACCCTATTCGGAAATTGGCATCTTTTGAAATTTGTGTGAAATTGGCAAAATTGCTAATTTCTGACCACTGTACTGGATAGTTGAATTTATAAATGGGTGGTTTCTTGCACCCATTCGATAGAAAAAACGGAGTTCTAGCGAAATATTCATATTTTTTGTCGACTAGTACAGTGAAATTGGCCGAAAATGGGGCTCAAAGTGGGCAAAATCGCCGATGCGTAAAGATCGCCGAGACTGCTAACTTTGCGACAGCATAATTCCGTAAGTTTTCTATCAAATTTCAAACTTTTGGTGTCGTTATGATCGGGAAAAGATTCTCTATCTTTTCATAAGAGAAAATAATTTTTTTTTTTTTTTAAATTTGGCCGACCCTGAGAACGAGTTTCGGAGAGGGCCTGTCGACCCTCAAAGGGTTAAGGGTTAAAGAATTGTGTGGATTCTAATATGGATGAAATGTGAGAAGGTGTTTAGGAACCTCGGGGATGGGGGGGAGAGAATGAGAAAGACAATGAGAGAACAAGAGAAAAAGAAAAACAAAATGGGAGAGAAAAAAAAAAGAAATAAAAATAAAAAGAAAAAGAAACAAAGAAAAAAGAAAGAGAAAAACAAAAAAAAAGGAAAAGAAAAAAGGGGAAAAAAGGGGAAAAAGGAAAAAGAAAAAAAAGGAAAAAAAAAAGGAAAAAGGAAGAAAATAAAGAAAAAGAAAAAATAGAAAAAATAGAGAGAGAAAAATAAAAAAAAATAAAAATAAAAAGAAAAAAGTGTCACAGATATCTAATAATATTTGTGTATCTAATAATGCTTTAGGAGATAAACATTTCCATGAACCAGGCCTCCTAAATTGCACAGGAAATAATAAATGAATAATAAAGTGTATACTGAATGTAAGAGATAGTTTTTAAGATTTGCCTGCCATCTGACATGTTTAAATTCAAGGAAACATCGCCAATCCTGCCAGAGCGCACAACATTCAACAGACTTGTTTTGCACTAACTTTATATGATAGTAATACCTACCATAGTGGCTGCTGTCTGGAATACAATAATTCAGAAAGCAGAGGGGCAGTTGACCAAGAAGGTGTACAACTGAGATGAAAGGATATGTTCCAGGAAAGGTTGGAAGGAAGGTATAAAGGTTTTGAGTAGAAAAGGCTTGAGCATCCAGCAGGCACGTGTATTAGATTGAAGGCAAGGCATTTTTGGCATTTCATGTGCTGTTAGTATAAAGAAAGTAATATTTACAAAAAAAAACAAAAAATCATAAAACAGTTAGGTAGCCTTGAGCCCTAGAACTGAGAAATACAGTGCCTGCACAATGAAGGATGTGTGAGTATGCTGCAGTTCAATAGATCAATTGAACTGTGATGTCTTTGGGTTTCTGAAAAGACAATTAGGGATTGAAAGTTGGGTTTCCTTCTCTGGGTCACCCCTCTTTGGTGGGAAATAGCAGATATGAGATAAATATTAAAGACACCACAAAGCAGAAAAAGAAAAAAGATTACTAATAAACTAACCTGGTCATGAAGATAAAATTGACCATGAGCTGGTGCTTGATGAATAGCTTGGTTGGAAGGAGGATTCATTCCATTGTGCATAAGGCTTTGAATCTGCTGCTGCTGATGTGACAGACGCTGGATGTCGCTCTGGATCTCGGTAAGGGAGTCAGTCATCCTGTAAGGTGGTGTAAAAGAGTCTGGGCCCATGGAGATGCGACGTGGGGGTGTTGGAGGTAGTGTTCCAGAATCGTTAGCAGAACGCCAGGTGCCAGGCTCCAAGTATAGGCTCATTCGACGCAAGTCCACTCTTGGATCTCGGGAGGCTCGCTCTCGAGGATCTCGGCCTACGTAGGTTCTTCGTCGCAACTGTACTGCATGAGGGTGGTCCAAGGAAGAGCGTCGAGAGCCCTCCAAACCACTCTCCCCACTGCAAGAACACACCACCACATGCACCACACACTACAGCAAACATGCCAGTCTCACTCAACAAACAACTGTGAGGAGCCTAGGACCATTATTGTAGTTTCAGAATATTTAACTCTGCATTCATCTTAGTAGAGGAAAAAGTACAGTAAGAAAGTTATAATGACAACTACTTTAAAAAAATAATTACAATTAAAAGCTGGTATTCTCTTTATTCAATGACATGCATGACCTTTAATGTTAACATATGGAAACATGAAATTATGTATAAATAAAATAAAGCATAAGAAGTTTGAAACAATGTCTGTAATGTGATGTAATGGTCAAAGCTCTACTACTGACTAAAGAGCATGCAAAAAAGCAAAATTCTACTAAAAGGCCCATGAAAGGAAACATTAAATTTATATTAAAAGAAAATACAATTAAAATATTTAATCACAATGGACAAAGATGCAGACAACCATTCACCAAGCATTCTACTATTAGATTTTAAGGAGGTGCTGTTCTATGAGCCTTGCAATTATAAATACCTATTTCTAACACCAAGTAAATTTATAAATACTATTCATAGTGAATTTTCTGCCTTAGAGAAAACACTGATTTATACATTTTCCAAATGCTACGAGTCCTTCGTATCACATTTGCCTTAAAAACTATTTTCAATTTTGGCAAGTGATAAGACAATAGCGATAACTAAGGAAAGTGTGCTTCAGAAATTATAGCAAGATATTAAAGTCAAAATGATAAACTATGCCTTGACTGTCTATTTGGAAAAAAAAAAAAATATCTAAACATTAAATTTAAAATGGCCAGGAGTTTAACAATTGATAATACAGTACTATACAAATACTGTGCTTCAGTAATGAATTTAAGATACATAAATAAATAAAATGATTCAAAACTCTACAAGTAGCAAAGTATGTGAGGAGAGTAAAATGTTTATGAATAGAGGTGGTTAGAGGTCAGATATTTTCCAGGGTTGGCAGGATGCTGAAATTTGAAGGGAAATTTAAACTATGATGGCTATGCACTTCTGGCAAGACAGCAAAAACAGAGATGGTGAGTGTATCCTTCTTTGGGTCACATTGTCTATGGAAACGGTCGACTAAAAAAAAAAAAAATTCCAATGACAAAAATCAGAGTTACAACCAATATCAATGCATGAAGCAATGGCAGCAGTAATAGTGCTAATGCATGCATTTCTGCAGACTTAATACAACACAAGATTTGAAAAAAAAAAAAAAAAAAAAAATTATGAAAAAAGTTAAATGCAAGAGATGAAGTTGTTAAAGGCAATAAGGACTGAAATGAAACTACAACATCTGAAGCTGAAGAGAGAATTATACATTGCTAAAATTTAATGACATTACTATTTCACGTCTCCTGGTATTCTTATGTCTGATTCATGGTGTTCTTTAAAGGGATGTTAAAAATAAAGTTTCTAAGATGATATACTTGAGCATGCCATTCTAGCCTCTTCCATGGTTACTTCTGTCAACTTAATAAATAAATAATAAATAATAATTATTTTCTGAAGGTACATACACGCTGGTATGAAAGTTAAAATACTTGTACAATAAGAAAATCTCTCTAATTATGCATAGCATTTCAGGCATGAACTAGAACTAATCATCTTAAAAAGTATTACAGGATATGAGCTGAAACAGTAAAGGAGTTGAAGGTGTACATAAGGTGTGCTGACAAGATAGTAAGATGAACGCAGTTATCAAGTTCACTGTTTGGGTAAAATGTTGTTGATAACGGTTCCATAGAACTGAATTTAATCTCCATTCATTAGGTATCTAAAAGAGATGCGATAAGGCATAGGTTCCCTATAATTTCTAATTATGAACTCTTCTTTCTTCATATAAGATACCTGTACAAAACGCCCATCCTCATCACATCAAATTCATCACTTTTTTTCAAGTTCTTTCAATCTCTTGTATTCCATAACTCAACAAATATTCAAACCACTTAAAAGCATTTTTCTGAACTTATACACCATCTGTTCTACAAACCTCTGACTGTGTAAAATCTATCATCACATTTCCCTAATTACAAGTACCTTTTCATGTACTGGTACCAACATGGATGCCGAAAGACTAAGTCAATTCTAAATACACCTCTCTCAGTGTGTCACTGCCACACTCCTGGCAAGGAAAATAAAAATTTATGAACATCAAATATTTCTTGACATGTACAGTTATATTTCTTGCACTCATAATACATACCAAAGACTCGTCTAATCATTGGCATTCCCTTTAACTTTCGTACTCGCAGCTATAGATCTACAGATGGTTTTCTCAATACTCCTTTCCCCATTATTATAAACATGTCTATTTCAGCAGTATTTTTGTCCCTCTGGCAATTCTGCTAAGCCCTGATATCCATGATCAAACCTCTTTAGTCTTTTTATCTCCTCCCCACTTTACTTTTTATTTTCTCTGGTTCATATATTATTGTACACACACACCCCTCTATGCATTCTCTTCATAAATGCTGTATTTTTTAAGAAACAGCATCTGTTATGTAAACAAACCATGGCTAAAAACCTGCTGTTTAAGACAACCTTACTTTCTTCTCATACATTCCTTTATTATTTCTAAATTTCCTGAAAGATACACAGACATCTAACAGACTTCTTATACTCAAGTTATCTGAATGAACAAGTTTCTAGATATGTATGAAGACTGTAATCTGCAATAAATCATTAAGGCCAAATGAATGACTAGAAAATTATTAAGTGGTAAAGGCAATATGAATAATAAAAAAATGAAGACTGATAACAAGTCCTGAATTAAAGATTGGTGCCCATAAGTGCGCTATTCAATAAAAAGAGACCGACCTGATATATATAAAAAAATAAACAAAAAAAAACAATTACTTATACACTAATATCATGGGGTAAACCTACGTAGTAGGTTGGTAGACAGAAACTGCCCAGGGAGGTACTACTGTCCTGCCAAGCAAGTGTAAAATGGAAGCCTGTACTTGTTTTACATGATGGTAGGACTGCTGGTGTCTTTTCTCAGTCTCATAAACACGCAAGCTTTCAGGTACGTCTTGCTACTTATACGTAGGTCACACTACATATACATGTACAAGCATATATATTACACACACACACCCCTCTGGGTTTTCTTCTATTTTCTTACTAGTTCTGTTCTTGTTTATTTCCTCTTATCTCCATGGGGAAGTGGAACAGAATTCTTCCTCTGTAAGCCAAGTGTGTTGTAAGAGGCGACTAAAATGCTGGGAGCAAGGGGCTAGTAACCCCTTCTCCTGTATAAATTACTAAATTTAAAAATAGACTTTTTTCTTTTTGGGCCACCCTGCCTCAGTGGGATACAGCCGGTTTTATTGAAAAGATCATGGAGTGAAGAATAAATTCATGGCTAACAAACCTTCAACACACATGACAGATGAATGAAGATCAGACAGGATAGAGAAAGATGAATGGACTGCATAATCCTGGCCAATAAGAAAACCTTTGATAATGTGCCACACAGAAAATAACTTAGCAGCACTAAAATACAGTGAGGAGTAATAGGAAAGGTGTTGGCATGGATTGAAGAATACGGTACTTGAAAGATTGGCAACATTTTCAAAACGTGCTCTTCCTGATACACAAGATTAAATCTTCAGGATTCCAGTGTGGAATCCTCACATAAGTGGAAATGAAGTAAAATTCAAGATCTAAAGAAGCTATGATCTAAAGATAAGTAAAATAACATGAGTCAAGCATGAAAATCCAGGCCCCTATCTCAGCAAGAACAAGCACAAGAGGGATATGATGCTGATACCTGCTCCAAGTCATATATACACAATAGAAAAAAAGTATTATTCAAGAACTAACTACTGTATAACTAGGTAATCTGCAAAATACAGGATCTAAACAGTCACAGGAATTTACAACACTTATTTAACCCAAGACAGATGATGAAGTAAAATGACTTGGGTGGGGAGTACAAGCAGGCTCCACCCACAGATTTACAAGAATATATGAAAGCTTTGTTGCACATGTTCACTTAAAGATTAAGAGTCAAGAGCAAAAATTTAATATTCCCACACACTGATTGGTAACTGTACAATTGGAATAGGTCCAAAGGGAAGGGTTTGCTACAACTACTGAACATTTACAGTATATGACTAATTACTTTAGATAGGAAGCCACAAATGTAGATGTATTCTTATACCACATAAAGGCAATCAATTATACACACTACATACACAAGTGGTAGGGAAAGGACTTGCACAGCCCCGTCTTACTCTTACCCTAAGCTTTCACTGAGGATGATCTAGTTGTCCAAGGTAAATAAAAATATAGCTAGTATAGTTCTCAAGATGGGCAACATTATTAATACAATGGTAAAATTGAAGGACCAAGAGCCTTAGAACCTCTGAAAAATCTGATCAAGAACAGCATCTCCTTTCTATATTTATTTCATAAGAGTTATAATCTTTCTCTGCATGTATACTGTTAGTAGGGAAGCATTTGAATCAAAACAGAGAATGTCCAAGTCGTCTCACCAAGGAACTGATCAATGAAAAAATATTCTTGAGGATGAATGCACAAAAACCTTAGTTGCACAAAAGAATGTTGTAATCAACTAATGTACATGAATAATAGAGTCGTTTTAATTATATATTCAGCAATACTTATTATTTACACCTTAAAACTATGATAAAATTTAAATACTTTGATAGTTAAGAAATAGTAAATCATCTTGTAAGTAATAAAGTACATTTTAAAACAAAAATCAGTTCCTTAACTCTTATTTAGTTAGAAAAGCATTATACAGCAAGAGACACTTGTGACATTCTCACTACTACAGATAAGTACCAGACATTTACCTGTGTGTTGGCCCTTTCAAGAGCCTGGCTACCTGACTTCGTTACTGGTAACGTGACCTGGCTACCTCACTAGGTCACCAAGTCTGGCAACTTGACCTGGTTACCTGACCTTATTAATAGGGGCAGTATATTAAGAATTCACTCCCCATT